ATATATGTGTCAGGGGCCTCATATCAGCTAGTGTATGCTGCTTGGTTGGTGGCTCAGTATCTTTGACATCTCAGGGGTCCAGGTTAGTTGAGACTGCTGGTCCACCTACAGGGTCACCCTCCTCCTCAGTTTCTTCCAGCTTTTCCCTAATTCAACCACAGGGGTCACCAGCTTCTGTCCATTGGTTGGATGTAAATACCTACATCTGACTCTTTCAGCTGCTTGTTGGGTCTTTCCAAAGGCAGTCATGATAGGTCCCTTTTTGTGAGCACTCCATAGCCTCAGTAATAATGTCATGCCTTGGAGCCTCCCCTTGATCTGAATTCCAATTTGGGCCTGTCACTGGACCTCCTTTCCCTCAGGCTCTTCTTCATTTTTGTCCCTGTAGTTCTTTCAGACAGGAGCAATTCTGGGTCAGAGTTTTTAACTGTGGGATGGCAACCCCATCCCTCCACTTGATGCCCTGTCTTTTTACTAGAGGTGGGCTCTACAAGTTCTCTCTCCCCACAGTAGGACATTTAATCTAGGGTCGCCTCCACTGAGTCCTGAGAGTCTCTCACCTCCCAGGTCTCTAGTACATTCTAGGTCTCCCCACCTCCTACCTCCTGGGGTTGCCTGTTTCCACTCTTTCTGCTGGCCATCAGGGCTTCAGTCTTGCCCCCCAAACCTCCTTTCAAACATTCTTTTTTCTCTGTAAATACCCTTAATCTTACAGCATGTACCTTGCCAGGATTTTGTTGCCTGCCTGTTTTTTTTTTTTTTTTGTAAAAAATGGAGAAAAAGAAGCTCATTACATTAGCTACAGAAATGATAATTAGGAAAATGCATCCAAAACCTTAGAAACTTTCTTTATATTAAATGCTGTCTTCATAATTTGCCTTTTATTTCAAGTGCCTGCGAATGGCCAGGACACTTTGGAATTAAGCATATGATTCATACTGGGGTTTGTTACTTTTCTTTTTTTCTTTTTTTTAAGATTTATTTTATGCATGAGTACACTGTTGCTTTCTTTAGACACACCAGAAGAGGTTATCAGATCCCATTACAGATGGTTGTGAGCCACCATGTGGTTGCTGGGAATTGAACTTCGGACCTCTGGAAGAGCAGTCAGTGCTCTTAACTGCTGAGCCATCTCTCCAGTCTGGGTTTGTTACTTTCCATAATGGGTGGTTTTACTTGTTAACTACCTCTCATGTTATAGTCTAAGGTGGAGGGTAACAACCATTCTATATCACAACCAGGTGACAGTCTTTGCAAATGAGCTACACCTCCTATTTTTACAAGTACTTATCATTGCCACTGTTATATAAAACCAGCCATAAAAAATGTGTAAATGAATTAGCGTTTTGTGTTCCAATTAAATTTTATAAACACCAAATTAAAATTCCATATTTTTTGTTACAAAATATTTTACAATCATTTTTACAGCCCCCCCTCAAATAAACAGTGGGCCAGAATTTGGTCATGAGTTATTTACTAACCTGTTCCAGAATCTTTTTATTGTTGTTAGTTGTTTTCTAAGAAATAATTTTTTAAATTTATTTTTTACGTGTTCACTTTATATCTCATTCACTGCCCCCTCCCAGTCACCCCCTACCACAATCCTTCCCCCATGCTTCCTCCCTGTCCCCTCTGTGTGGATGGGGACCCTCTGAGTATCCTCCTAACCCTGGTACATCAAGTCTCTGTGAGGCTAGGCTCATCCTCTCCCACTGAGGCCAGACAGAGCAACCCAGCTAGAAGAACATATCCCACAGATAGGTAATAGCTTTTGGTATAGCCAAAAGGGTTGTTCAGGACCCACATGAAGACCAAGCTGAACATCTGCTACATATGTGTAGGGAGGCTTAGGTCCAGCCTGTGTATGTTCTTTAGTTGGTGGTTCAACCTCTGAGAGCCCCAAAGGTCCAGGTTAGTTGACTCTGTTGGTCTTCCAGTGGACTTAAAGTTTTTTATATTTGCAAAATATTGGCATGCCTGGTATGCACGAGGCTGTGTTCACCACCCCGTACCACAAAAAATCAATTTCCATAAAGAAAATGTACCTTTTTCCATGTAATTAAAACCATGATACACTGACATGACCAACTCAGTATGTACAGAACAAAATTCTGTACATTCCTAAGTTTCAGGTTAATGTGGACTGTCTTGAGCAACTGTCTCATTCAGTGAGCTGTTGCCTCATACATCTGCTCAACTAGAGAGATAATTTCCCCAGATAAGCAATCTTTACCAAAAAGATAAACAGAAAGGAATCTAGCTGCAGGCACAGAGCAGGATTCAATACAATGAGCATTCCAGAGTAATCAGTGAGAATCTCTCACTTTGGAGATATGTATCTGTCTGGGTCTGGTGTAGGAACCTGTAATCTAGTACGTAGACTCTCTAGGGGGAAAGGACGAGAAAAAGGCACAGTAAAACAATTTGTACCCATTCTTTGTCCCACAGGACCTTTGAGTAGAGACCTCTTACAAACACCCCCCAATAACTGAAAACATCTCACGGTTTAGGTTACCCACATGCCAAGAGAATGAAAAACTGAAAAAGCTCACAAACTTATTACCTCATTTAGTTCATATAGCAGCCCTGAGGTGACTTATTTTCATCTTACTCATAAGCATAAGGGTAGATATTAAATAGACTTATCATTTCTCAGTAACAGATGCCAGATGATAAACTAAATCTGAGATCATGTCACAAGTCTGGAAAGTACTCACTTAATTTTTTATAAGGTTATCATTAAAAATACTTTTAATTTTTAAAGATTTTATGCATAGCTGACTGAGACAGATCCAGATACTTATTACACCCAACCACTGGACTGAAGTCAGGGACACCTATGGAGTAATTAGGGGAAGGATTGAAGGAGCTGAAGGGGAGAACGATCTCATAGGAAGACCAGCAGTCTTAATTAACTCAGACCTGGAGGGTAGGGTGAGGGAGGAAGTCCCAGAGACTGAGTCACCAGGAAGGCAGCAAACACGCTGATTCAAGGCCTCAAGCACATATATAACAGAGGATTTCCTGGTCAGGCCTCAATGGGATCAGATGCCCCAATCCTGAGACTTTAGGCCCGAGGGAGGACAGATGAGGGGGCAGAGAAGGGGAGCACCCTCTCCAAGATGAGGGAATGGGGTGAGGAATTGTGTGGGGGGACCAGGAAGGGGGGCAATGGCTAGAATGCAAATAATTTAAAAAAAAGGATTTCATGCACAAGTGTTTGGCTGCATGTATGTCTGTGTACCACATGTGTGCCTGGTGCCCAAAGTTATCAGACAGCCCCAAACTAGAGTTATAGATGGTTGTGAGCCGCCCCGTGGGTGCTGGGGATTAAGCTGTGTCCTCTGGTAGAGCTAAGTCATCTCTTAAGCTACCAAATTCTTCGTTAAGTCATATGTTCAATTTTGAAAACAAATGTAAAGAAAATGCCTTTCAGTTATTCCAGTGACCAGCACTACTTACTCCACCCATGTGGCTGTTCATATTCTTATATATAGAAAAGAGTAAGTACAGAGCATGCCTTTTAATCTGCTTTATTAGGTATACAGTATGTAATGTGGAGCTTCCCATGCAACTGATTCTGCTAACAAAAGAATTATAGACTGAGTAAAAAAACACAAGTTTCAATTAGAAGCTGGTAACAGGAGGAGATCTACACAAAAGGAGCAATCTCGAAACTTGTACATCACAAAGCAGGGGTCCCCATATCACCTTCAGAGGAAACCTCAGGACTCAGGGCATAAGGCAAAACTCATCATGGTGGTCATGGTGAGGGGGGTCGGTGCTAACAGCACGCATGGTATAGCTCAGCTGCTTTTCCCGTAACTTCTCCATGAGCTGTCTCATATCCTCCCCAAACCTCTGTACATTCTCCTCTCTCATCCTTGCCTGGGGCTCCCCAACCCTATACATCAGGTCCCATCTGTAGTGAGCGATGGGCTGCCTAACCCGGAACCGCCTGCGACCTCCTCTAGGCACACAGTTTTTGCCAGCCTCAAAAGTCAGGGCCACAACTGGCTCCCTTTTGATAGTATCTTGCGGCTTTTCTTCCTTCTCCTCCTTTTTCTGGTGGTCATTTTCCATGTTGAGATCTTTTACTTCTTGATTTTTGGACTCCATTACTCCTAAGAAGCAAGAGAAGGAAAAGATTTCTTCGTGGATTGATCAGCAACGAGGACAAGAGTCTCTGCTTTGCACCTTTCAAAATTCACTTCCCCACCTGAAAGGCCCATAGCTCTCTAGAGGGCTCAAATCCGGCCCACCTCTCCCCAAAGCCCACCGTGTTTCCTGCAGATACATCTGATGCATCTGCGTCATCAAAATGGAAGAATAGGATGGGAGAGAAGAATCTGGTAAAGGGGGGCAAGAAGGGCTCTGACATACCCAGATTTGCGCACGTTCCCTTTCCCCCTCTCAGTCCCCAGAACCTACCTGGGCCTATCCTTGCCTTCTCCTCTTGCTAGAGATGCTCACCACCAGGTGTGCCGCGAAGCTTCTGCTCCTCGGACCTGCGATCAACCCAGAAGGATGGGTGAGTGGGTGGGAGGGAGGACCTGTGGCACTGTCCCGAGCGCCACCGCCCAGGCTCTTCCCGCCGCCTCGGCCGCCTCTGCCCCACCCCGCCGACCACCCCTGGGCCCCCCAGATGCAGGGATGCTGGGGTCTATGGGAACCTGTCGCGGGGTGCATGCTCCTACTCCCCGAGGGTCTCCGCCCGCGTCCCCCGCCCCCCTCCCCGTCCGGCCGCCGCGCCGCTGTGCACACGGGGACGGCCACCTGCAGCCTTGGCCTGCGCTGCGACGGCCTGGCTGGCGGCCGCGGGACCCCGACCAAGGGCTCCGCGGGTCCGGGCCGCTGTCCCTCTCACCTGCTCCGCTCTTCCTCCTCCTGCTGCTGCTTTCCGCGCCGCCCGGGCCCGCGCGCTCTGCGCCACCAGGAGCTGCGCCACCAGGAACAGGTGCCTCCGTTAGGGATGGCGGGCTGGAAGAGAGTGAGCCAGGGCAGGTCCGAGACCCAGCGAGGGGTGTGAGCCTGCGTGGGCTAGTCACGTGCCACTTGCGTCAGAAGCCAAAGCTCCGCCCCCGGCCCCCGCCCCGCTTCCCCCCCCCAGTGTCTTGCTGTGCAAAGTTCAGGTCCCTTCTTCACCTCTGGGTCCCTTTAAAGTCTTCCAGCCTGGGCCCTGTCTCTGAGCCTTGGGCATTTCATGGCCTGACAAAAAGAAGGGCCATGTGTGTGCTTTATGGACTGCTGGCCATCCCAGTTGTCTGGGGGATTGATTTTCCCCTCTCTCTTTTCTCCCAGGTTGTGCCTCCTTCCTTCTGCTGTCCGCTCAGCTTTTCATTTTTCCTTCCATAAAATATATGGGAAAAGTTAGTCAAGAAATGGGCTTATGCTCTCTTACACTCTTTCTCTCTCTTGATCTCTTGATCCCTTCCCCCTCCCCTTCCCCGGTCCCTTCCTCCTCTCTCCACGTGGTCATGGCCAGGCTCTACGTCTCTACTCTCTTCGTCTTTCTGCGTCTACTACCCTCTGAACTCCCCTCCCCATGCCCTGAATAAACTCTATTCTATACTATAAAAAAAGAAAAGAAATGGGCTTATACAGATTTTAAAAAGCTGCCTCCCTCAGTCCCTCTGTCCCTCCATCCCTCCCTCCCCTCCTCTCTTCTCAGTTCTTTCTTCCCTCCCTCGGAGACAATGTTTCTCTATGCAGTCCTGGCTGTTCAGGAACTCACTCTGTAGTCCAGGCTGGACTGGAATTCAGAGATCTGCCCGCCTCGGCCTCCTGAGTTGCTCGGACTAAAGGCGTGTGATTTAGTGATTTTACCTACTGCCTGTCTGATTTTTAAAATTTCTTAATGGATTCCCATAGTGTTCTTTTGGTGGTCACAAAAAGTATGTATCTTTTATATGCAATGATAATAAGGGGGAAGAAGAGGCTTTTGGTTTGAGAATGGGGTGAGCATGGGAGGAGTTGGAGAGAAGGAAGGGGCTTGGGAAGGGAAACGCGATGTAATTCTATTTGTGTTAAACTTTTTAAAAAGAAAAGGAATGGTGTCTCTTGTTTGTAAAGCCCAGCAGTGGGAGAACTGAGGCAGGAGGATTTCTAGTTTAACACTGGCCTAGGCTGAGGAGATCTTGTCTCATTAAAAAAATAGTCTTATTTGAAAAACAGGATTAAATTTGGGGGAAAAAACGCCAACCATCTGTCTCTCCTGCTAAGTCATTATATAAATATAGACTCCACAGGCAGCAGCTGCTGTTTTTGGACCTTGGAAAAGGATAGGGCAGCTGATGTTCCCCTTGTGAGGGGCCCCTAGACACGCAAGGCATCTTCATGAGGTGAGCCAGCATTTACTGTGCTATAAAACCTTGTCAGATCTTCAGAATGAAAAGAAACGAACAAATCTCTTTCAGAAATTTCTGCTTCAAATGGTTCATATGCATTTGCAAGTCAATGAGCCTGTATTGAAATAATCTTAAATTGTATACTGTAAATCTATTTCAGGACCAGCTTTGGTGGCTGAGAGGACAGGAGGAGTAGAGGACAGGGGGAAGGCAAGCCCCCAGAGACTTGGGAAGTCAGTGCAGGAAGGTTTCAGGTATATAATTAACAAAACAAAATACACTTTTATTTGATATGCTAGTCACGAGCAATTGGAAATTGAAACGCAGAAGTATTACTTATATACTTTATGAACTTTAAATGTGAGGTTTTTTTTTCCTTTCAAAAAAGACTAAGCAGTAGCCTTTCAAAAAAGGTTTCTCTGCATAGCCTGACTATCCTGGAACTCACTCAATAGACCAGACTGTTCTCGAACTCAGAGATCTGCCTGCCTCTGCCTCTTGAGTGCTGGGAATAAACACCACCTTCTCACTAAAGGTGAAATGTTTAGAAGTAAGCTATATATGAAAACTAAAACAATGATGAAAGCACTAAAGACATATAATAAAATGTACACATTTTAATTTTGCAGTGTTGAGGATGAAACCTGGGGCTTCCTGCACGGTAGGCAAACATCTTTTTTTTTTAATTTTTATTATTTATTTACTTTATGCATGTGAGTACACTGTCATTCTCTTCAGACACACCAAAAGAGGGCATCAGATCCCATTACAGATGGTTGTGAGCCACCATGTGGTTGCTAGGAATTGAACTCAGGACTTTTGGAAGAGCAGTCAGTGCTCTTAACCGCTGAACCATCTCTCTAGCTCAGTAGGCAAGCATCTTACTATTGACCTACATCCTCAACCCAATATAGTCATAGTTAAAGTATATAATTTAATATTTAACATACTTATCAACAGATAAATGACTATTAAGATAGAGACTGTTTTCCTCTGCCGGATAAGTTATGTTGTGAACCTTCACAGTCAGAAAGGCCACGGCTTTCCAGTCAGACAAAAATGGTCAGGTTTATATTGTATAGGTTACATTTGCTTATTCTGAAAATCATGGAACAAATCATGTTAAACACACTCCACTTTAGCTGATAGCCTTTGAGCTATCTTTTGAGATTCATCTGTCATTGTTTGCATCAGTAGCTTATTCTTTCCTTAGATTAGCAACACTAATTTTCAGAATAAAATCCTGCACTTACTATCCTACTCCCAGAAAATGTGGTCTTGCTTCTTGTTCTGATTCCGTAGGATGCATAGTGTTCACAAAGGGAACCTCTTGCTATCCAGGCTTGTACTTAGCTGAGTTACACCTGAATCTCATGAGGACCTGCACAATCTCCAAGTGCCCTTGGGCCTCTGCCATAGATAGCGGTATGAGCTAATATAGTCTGTTGGAGTAAATTTTTTGGCCTAATAGTATTCTTGTCATGATAAATTATTAAAGCATAAAAATTTCTTGGCTGCAGACAGTATTCTTGTTACTACTTAGCCTGTTGCAGCAGCGTACTCATTCCAACTGTTCTGCTTTACTCATTGGTGTGTGTGTGTGTGTGTGTGTGTGTGTGTGTGTATGTGTGTGTAAGTCAGAGAACAGCTTTTGGGAATCAGTTTTCTCGACCCACCTTGCTATCAAACCCATTAGGGTATCAAACTGAGGTCATCAGACTTAGCAGCAAGTTCCTTTTTACCCATTGATCTACCTCACTCAGCCTCAGTCTAGTTTCTTTTGAAAAATTGTCAGGTTGTCAGAAAGATATAATTTTGCACCTTCTTTTTATAGGACCATATAATGGCAATTTTCATAATTCTTATAAAAAGTATTTGATATAGTTACTTCAATTTACAGAAAACATACCTAAATATCTGGGAAGATTTGCGGATACTAATGTATTTCAGGGACTGGAAATACAGCTCGATTGGTAGAGTGCTTGCATGCTGTGTATAAAGCCCTGGGCTCAATCTCCAACACCATATAAAACTGATTGTACTTTGTGCATATCTAGAACTCCAGCACTCAGGAGATAGAAGCAGGAAGTATCAAGTGTTTAAGAATGTCTTTGGTGCCGGGCGGTGGTGGCGCACGCCTTTAATCCCAGCACTCGGGAGGCAGAGGCAGGCGGATTTCTGAGTTCGAGGCCAGCCTGGTCTACAGAGTGAGTTCCAGGACAGCCCGGGCTATACAGAGAAACCCTGTCTCGAAAAACCAAAAAAAAAAAAAAAAAAAAAGAATGTCTTTGGCTACATAGTGAGCTTGAGGCTATTATGGGTTACATGAGACCTTTTCTTTAAAAAAATAAACACCACATTTTAGTAATACAAATGCAAGAAAAATAGACTAGAATACACCCAAATGTAGATTAACTGGCTTATATAAATTATTACCTTTGATATAATTTTCTACAAAGCAACATAAAATAGACAATATAGGAGGATTTAATGAAGTATTATTAGGCAAGGAAATATAAGGCAAATTATCACCAGGGACAATTAGCAGCTGTGGCTAAAATGAGTGATCCCTGAACTCTGGCAAAGTTGATGATTTGGAATAATATAATAAAAACACATAATAATTTTAATATAATAAAAAGTTTTCTCCATTTGTATTTAATATTGACCAGGTGACTATCAGTGTGGATAAAGTAAATCTGATCACTAAATATATAATGAATAATTATATCACAGTTTAACTTATATAATTTTGATTTTTTTGAGACAGGCATTATGTATCCCAGATTGGCTTTGATCTCTCTACATAGCTGAGAATGACCATGAATTTTTTAATCTTCTGATCCTCCTTCCTCTAGTTCCTGAATACTGAGATTTCAAGTACGTGGCAGGTTTTATGTACAGCTAAGGAATAAACCCAGACCATTATGCATGCTAGGTAAGCATTTGACTTATTGAACTATATCTCTAGTATAATTTTGATTATTTCCTTAGTATGAATGTCTCATAATCTGTGTGTCTTAGTTAGGGTTTTACTACTGTGAACAGACAGCATGACCAAGGCAACTCTTATAAAAAAAATAACATTTAATTAGGGCTAGCTTACAGGTTCAGAGATTCAGTCCATTATCATCAAGGCAAGATAATGGCAGCATCCAGGCAGGCATGGTGCAGGAGGAACTGAGAGTTCTATATCTTCATCTGAAGGCTGCTAGCAGAATACTGACTTCCAGGCAGCTAGGTTGAGGGTCTTAAAGCCCACAGTGATACTTCTATTCCAATAGGGCCACACCTTCTAATAGTGCCACTCCCTGGGCTGAGCATATAGAAACCATCACAGTATGTATGACTTCAATGATGGATGAATATGTTAGCACACTTCTATACAAGAATGTTGATGAATTTTGACAGCATGACCTGGAAATAAGTCGGGAAAATCCTCAATGTCCACTTTGCTTGGTAGTGTATACCTGTAATCACAGTATGTGGGAGACATAAGAAGAAGAGTCAGTATTTTAAGGAAGCTACACAGGAAGTTTGAGGTCAGCTTTGGCTACATACGATCCTGTCTCCAACAAATCAAAAGTCCTTGGGGGAATGCAAAGGAGAATTCCTGGGTTTGTGTCATAAAGTACTTACACAAAAGCTCTTTCAGACAAAAACCAATAAACAACCCTAAAGATGGAGTGAGGGGACCTCTA